GTATTGGTAGTTAATGTTGCTTTCTCTTTGGTTTCCAACACTATATGCTCTTTTTCTGTTTTCTCATTATTATTATTATTATTATTATTATTATTATTATTAATATTATTATTATTATTGCACCTTTCTTCATTTAACGTTTGGCTATCATTAGCATTTTTAGAAAATTCAATTTGTAACTTTTTTAACGTATTTATTTGTGAATACGTTACTTTCTGTAGGAAATCTAACCAATATTTCGAGAAAATAAATTGTAAGTTTTTATCGTAACCAGATTTATATAAATAATTTTTCAATTGGGTTAAAATTTTTGGATGATTTTGCATAGGCATTTTTATTTTCCACAAAGCATTTATACGATTAAATAATTTACTTCTATTAACACTTTCACTATAACCTTTACCCGTAATACTCTCTGTCAATTTCCTGTAAATGTAAAGTACATATTTTATATTTTATGATGTTTGTCAGAATATCAGAGTAATGTTACTTTTATTTCTCAATTTAGAAATTTTTGTACCGTATTTATTTTATACAGTAAACTAATGTAATATGAATAATCTATAAGATTTCTACTTATAATGTATATATGATTAAAATAAATAAATTCCTTTCAATCACTGCATTATTAAGTTAGGTACGATTATTTGAAGAATTATGAACAATAGTTGATGAAACTCGAAAATAAATTGTTATATATACGGAAAACTATTTTGCAACACAATTTAGTAATTATTTTGTTTAGCATGGAATTTTTACAGAAGAAAGAATTTGTTGGACAAACGTGACTATTATGAATTTGCATGTAAGCCTAATGTTTCTTTAAGCACATTTATATATTAAATGTCTATATACATGAATACGAATACGTAATGTTTTATATTTAACGTACTCGCACGCTTCTAAATATACAACATAAAATATACAATATGATTAAAACTAATGAAAGAATTAGTGCAGCAGTTAGTAAAACAATTACTTTTAAGTCTCATATAGAATTTTGCACAGAATAATACGATACGTTTATAAGGGAAAATAATAACGATAATTTCGAAACGAACGAATGTACAACAAAAACATAATTACATTTTATGAAAAGTGAGATAGAGTAATGAAGGTAATTTAACATTTCGTAGATGTACCTCGATAAAAGGATAAACTTTTGATAATATTTCATGTTGGTATGTCGCGTCATCTTTTATTCTTTTCGTTGTAGGATTGAAGAGAATATAGGCATAAAAAGAGAACAATTGCACTTTTTGCACTGAGTATCGATTTAGTGAAAAATTCACGATAGAAATTTTCTGTAGAAAATTTCGATTGCACTACGAAAAATTGGGAACACTTCTCTTTAATCGTTTATGATGAAATATATTTTTCACGATTATTTCCACTATGTAAATAATAATAATGGACTAATTCTCCGTGTTACGTTAGTACTGAACTGTTTCGAACTACTAAGTACACAACGTCTCATTCTACTTATATAAAAGAACTGCTGGCGCAGTTGGGAGGGTTCGTTTTGTAAATAAGCAGATATATATGAGACTGCTCCACCAACGAGATTTATTGATAATTATGTACGAATATAATGCTTTAATAGTTTAACGCCCGGATGAGAAATAGCATGGCGTATTAAATATATTGTTTACACATGTTTGTTTACGTTTTATTAAACGTAAATAACCTTATTATTAGTAGTGTTTACATCAAAATTTTAAATAACTTATACGGAATGTATTCTGCAATCAGTAAATAATAACATATGGATACGAATACGACTAGAACATTGAAATTACGAATAATATGAAATCTTAAGAATCTTATCTTCACAATTCGATCGAATCGTTAAAACTTTCTTTCTTGTAAGAAGTACCCCATTGATGAATTGATGTCGAAATGAATGTTACAAAAAAGATTATTGTAAACAATGAAAATACGGATACGTTTATTGTATATTCAGTTTAATTTTTGCTAAAATTATTTAAACTTTACAAATACCTTTCAAGAAATATTATTTAATTACTTTATATTAATATTAAGTAATAGAAATATTATTTAATATATTCTTATAATGTATGTATGTAATCCACATTTTCGTCCCTTGTTTCAATTCACTCGAGAACCCCATAAAGTTTTCCATATTCTTTAATACGTTCAGCCGAAACATTTGGTTTTAATTAGACAGTCAGCATTCACTTGTTTACCTGGCAGACGAGAAATCTGCAAGGGTATGCCTTTACAACGCAATTATAAAATTTCATAAATTAAACACAGAAATTGAGCGATTTGTTAATTTTTCTCCAAGTGAACAGGAGAGTGCTTGGGAAATGAGAAAAAATTACAAATAAACGCCGGAAGCATTGTTGTGTCCATGCAGGTGTGCCTGCATTACGAAAAGAATGTATTTGTATTAACATAACCTTTAGTTATAATTAAACAGTGTAAGTTAGAAAAGACAATATTCTGTTGAAATAAACAGGCACGTGCAACAATAGAAAAATATTGGACTCATGGAATATCATCAGCGTAGATACCAAGAATTATACTTTATAGCGAGAAAAAATTGAAGCGGCAATACAAATATGTAAAGTATGTTATGTCTATTGCATTCTAGGTCGGTTAACCATATGACATACAAGATAGAAATCTTTGATGGTCAATTGAAAATTCAGAAAATGGAGATGGTTTAGGCAGACAAAAAGGAATACAATTAATTTAGGTGATGACCTCTTATAACAAGATATGGAGAATACAGTGAGATTGAAAGGTATGTTGTGTTCCTGATATAAATGAATATTAATATCAGTGGTCAAAGTCAATGATCATCGCTAATGTGTTAAGTTTGAATAAAAGAAGTGACAAGAGGAAACGCATGATGCAGAATAAAGAAACAGAAAAGAGGCAGCATATGTATCAAGAGAGAAAAATGTGTGGCATCGACATGGAAATATGAGGATCATTGAAGAGATGGAGAATGAACAATTGATAATAGTTATGAAAGGTAAAGTTGAATTGAATATAGAGCGTAAATGTTGCATTAAGGCAAAAATGTCTAATAATATCTATAAGGACTTGGAAACTATAAAAGAAGCAATTATAATGGTGCTGTGGCACATCATGGACTTCACCGGGCCAATAAAGCCAATGTCAAAAGGAGGTAAAAGGTATGATTATTCGAGAAAAGAACCATTTGGTTGACTGATTTATAAATAACTAAAGATTTAATATGAAATATTATTGACGAAGGATTTTTTCCATTATAGGAGACTTACGAACACAAGACAAGTAATATTTATATGCAAGAGCCTGCCACTAAGGGTAGAGTAATAAGTATCATTTTATAATATTTCAATGGATTGTATATCTGTTTTTAAAAATTTAACCG